AATGGGAGGGCTAAGGTAGGGTGGAGGGGTGGGTGGGTGTAAATGGGAGGGCTAAGGTAGGGTGGATGGGTGGGTGGGGGTAAGTGGGAGGGCTAAGGTAGGGTGGTTGGGTGCGTGGGGGTAAAGGGGAGTTGCAGCGGCTAGCTTCTATGGTTGTCAAGTCGCGTCGGATGAGACCCTATATAATGTACCTTGGCAGAACAGCATGGTCAGGTACATTGTCTGTACGTGGATGTGTCTGGCGTTTTGGTGCATTTGATCAGCGCTGGAAAGCAATTTAGGATTTCCCAAGCAGCAGCGGGGGTTGACCGAATACCAGCGGTTTGCAAAACCCAGTGGCCCCACCCACAACCATTATTTTTTTTTTTGTGACCTATTTTTATCCCTTTTTTTTCTCTTTTTTTCTTTCTTTTTTTCCTCCAAATCGCCAGTGGTTTCAAACCTCATTTTTCCAACGCCCTTTTTTTGCCCCGCCCTGAAACATCCAAACCTATATACCGAAGCCGCACCAGGGCGCTGCCAGCCTTTTTCCCGATAGGCACTCGAGCTTTTCCAGGGCTCATGTTAATTGCACGGGTTTTTTGAAAGCCTAGGCTGTCCACTGGTATTTTAACAATTACTTCCCCGAAGTGCGGCCATGTGCGCACCAGGACACACTGAGTTGAACCTGCCTGTTTGAAACAAAATCAATAAACGACCTAAAAGCGTGAAAACGGATCCAAGTAAAGTATATAAGAAAAACTGATATGCTGCTCGTATTTTTCTCTGTCTAGAACCCCATACCCCTAGGGATTAAAACACTTTCAGGCGCATCATGGATAAATGCATTCGAAGAATCGCAACGAACCGTCGCAGCACTGTAGCAATGCCTGGCCTGTGCACAGCCACACTTTCTTTTCTTTTTTTTTTTTTTGGCACACTTTTTGCGTAATACCTGTCTTGAATATGTTTCGCATAAATAGTACATGCAACTGATTTGTCATTTCAAGGAGGGGGCGGGGGGCGGGGGCAAAAAAGGGGGGAAACAAAAAACAAAAGCTCCATAGTACATGGCACTACATGCATGTTTTTTTCAAAACTTTTCTTGCCCACACTGTAGACAAGTCCATGGGTGGTGTTTCTCCCATCATTTCTCGTCCCTTTTTTGTCCCCCTCGTTTCGCTTTCCCATCCTTCTTCTTTCTCTGTTATATGATTATGATACTACTATATTTGAACTAGGATTTTGTCGACTAAATCTGGTGATTCTGGTCGTAATTGTGGTCAGATGCATCCAGGGAAGTCCAAGTTTGGCAATGCCCAGAGACATCTTCTGCTCAAGACAAGCAGATGTCTGAAGACTCTGAACCTCTGAATGCTTTTTCTCCCATCTTTTTCCTTCTCCCATCTCCATCCTATCTTTTCTTCTTCGTCCTTTTCTTCTTTTTCTCTTTTTAATAATCTGTCCCATTTCTCAATTTGTGTGTATCATCCTCGCGCACGGGCTTGGCTCATCCTCTCTATATCGTTCCAATTATTGGGGATGTCCCCAACTTTCCCGACGACTTCCTTCTTCATCTTCTTAACCCTTCTCTCCCATAATTCCCATCCTTTCTCCTTTTCTGGCCTCTTCTTGCCTCGTGTGTTTGACTTTGACTTCCCCCCCCTCCCCTTTAGGTATGCAGTGTTACATCCCTTTGCCCAACTGGCCGGACGCAAATTATCGACTGCAGCTCGCATCCCTTTTCATCCTCCCTTGTCCCTCTTATCGTTCTTCTTGAGCCTGTCCATCCTTTCTCCCACCCTTTCTCCTTTGCTACCCTCTTCTTGCCTCATGCGCTTGGTCCCCTCTTGTGGCTTGCAGTGTCACGGCCATTTGCCCGGCTGGCTGGACGCAACTCCCCGGCAATCCTCCAGAGAACGATGATGCTCGCTGACAAAGCCCGGAAGCTTGAGCCAGATAATGCGGCTTACCTAGTCGAGTACGCCTATCAACAACAACTGTCAGGAGACTACCAAGCTGCAATTTTGACGTACCGAGCAGCAGCACGGCTCGACGAGATGAACATCCAGGCCATCTACGGCGTCATCGAGTGCCAGCTCCGGTCTGGTCACATTGCCGAAGCATCACAGCAGCTAGATTTCATGGCCGAGATCTCGACCGCGATTGACCGAACCTCGGACTTGCTGTTCCTCCTGGCCATGCTGACATGGCAGAAGGGTTGGGATCCCGACCGATGCTACAAGCTTCTGGACGAGGCGTTGATCCTGCATGCACAAGCTCTGGCTGCCGTTCCGCAGGCGGGGTACGAATACTACGTGACAATGAACCCGGAGCGTATGCTCGAGATGGCGAGATTGCTACTCATGCACGTAGGTTCGGCCGAACCTACAGGTTCGGGAGAGGCAACGAATCCACACCTAGAGAGGGGGATTCAGGTCTTGGAGGGTTTGTCCAGAGCGGTGCCAGGGCTAATGGATGCACAGCTCGCACTTGCACGCGCTCGATTCATAGCTGGCGATCTTAACGGCGCGGAACGTTCAGCCTCCAGAGCTCTGCGCTTAGATAATGCATGTGCGACTGCTCACATTCAGCTCAGCGAGGTGTATGTCCAGCAAGGCAGGTTCCTTCTAGCCAATCAAGAACTGGAGCAAGCGGTCAGCCACGACTTTGGAACCCGAGATTCTCCTAGGTTTCTTGTTGCACGAGCACGGGCGTTGCTTGGCATGGACCGGGTCGAGGAGGCACTCAAGGTTCTAGAAGGCGGTATGGTGAACCCTGCAGGTGGACGGCGTTCATCCGTCACCAAACTCTCCCCAAGCGAAGGCTTAACAGGCAGAGGAGGAGGAGGAGGAGGAGGAGGGGGAGGAGGAGGAGGTCCTGGAGGAGGAGCAGCGAAAGGTAGAGGTAAAGATGGGCTAGGAAGGAGAGGGAGTGTGTTTGAGACAGTAGGGATAGGAGGAGGAGCTGGAGGGGAAGGGAAGAGAGTTAAGGCAGAGTTTACGGGGGAGGAGAGGGCGAACTTGTACCTCCTCCTTGCGAAGACATTGATGAGACTGAAAAGAGTTCCAGAATCGACGAAAGTGATTCAGGATGCAATGAACGAGTTTGCGGGGACAGCTGAAGAGCCTAGGATCCTCCTCGCCAATGCGGAGCTGGCACTTGCGAGAGGAGATGTGGAGGGTGCATTGGCCATTCTTCGTTCTGTCCCTCGGGGGAGCTCGCAATTTCTTCATGCCCGCTCCGCAATGGCAGAGGTCTATCTTCACCATAGGCATGACAAGGCAGCATACATCTCTTGTTATTCGGATCTTGCTGAGCGGATTGGCGACACTCTTTCCCTTGTAATGCTTGGAGAGGCAATGCTCCGCATTCAAGAGCCGGAGTTGGCCATTCAAGCTCTAGAAAAGGCACTAGCTAAGGCCCCTCAGGATGCCGTCTTGGCAGCGAAGATAGGCAGAGCTCTCGTCGCGACCCATAACTACGCGAGAGCGGTCACATTTTACGAGAGCACTTTGAAATCCCTTGAAGAGAACCAGCAGAACCTACAAGCTCCACACTCGTCGGTGAAGGCTGATGCTCTTAACCCAGCCAAAGGTGGCGGTCGGGCTTTGCCAGAAGGAAAACCGACAACCACGACGTCGACCATAACTATGAACCTGGCCTCTATTGCCATCATGATGGATTTGGCTGAATTTTACTTGAGGATGAGGCGCTACGACGATGTGGAGAAAGTTCTGAAGAAGGTCTTGAGGGTAGAAGACGGCCGGGATTTGCCTGGTGCTCAAGGACCGCTTTTGTTGGCGTCGATGACTGACTCCGATGGGCCTGTTAGTCCAGATGCAAAGGCTGGCGGCGTTCACCAGATGGGCAACAAAGTTGGACCTTCCGGTCCAGATCTGGTTACACTGATGACGGACGTGAAAGCACTCATGCTGCTTTCGCGTGTTCACAAAGGTCGGTCTGATTCAGCAAAGGTGATCGACGTGATGAAACGCGCGAAGATGCTGCAGAACACAGTGCTGTTGAAGATGGCGCGCGACCCTGAGGATGCTCTTCGTCCTCAGCATGAGGTTGCTATGGAGATAAACATGCAGTTAGGACGAGAGTACGAACTCTGTGGTCAGCTGGATGTGGCAATGGACATGTACAAGGAAGCAATCCGGCACGGTGAGGAGCATGGCACTGGCTTAGCGCCCGCATTCCCTCAGGCACCACCTCCTTCTGTGCCGCCATTGTCCGCTATACTGTCTACAATTGGCGGGGTAGGCATGCTTTCAACAAGTCTTGCAGGAGTCAGAGTAGGAGCGGGAGCAGGAGCAGGAGGAGGAGGAGGAGGAGGAATGAAGTCGGGCAATGAGCTATTAGCTGCCAGTATGCTTGCGCTCGCTCGTCTCCACTTGGCGAGAGGAGAGGTCGACAGCTGTCAGCAACAATGTATGAGCTTGCTGAAGATCGATCCACTGAATGCCGAGGCATCCTCGATTCTTGCTGATCTGATGGTAGAGAGAGAGCAGTACGATGCTGCAATCCTTCACTTCCAGCAGCTGTTAGAACGTCGCCCCGCTAATTTCCCCGCCCTCGCACGACTGATACACCTTCTCCGGCGTGCAGCGAGGATCAAGGAGGTTCCTATCTACCTGCGAGCGGCGGAGAATGCCCTGTCTTCATTGTCTACCAACTCCTCTGCACTTCCTTCTACTACCCTTTCTGCTTCCTCCGTCGGCGAGGATTCTCGCAGGCCAGGCGGCAACAACACACCGGCCATCTCCACCGGTTTCAGCAACAGCCGCTCCATCACAACTACCACGTCCGTGATTGCGTCCACGGCCGCAGCAGGAGCCTCTTCGCTTCTTCTCCTCAACGATACGTCTCGACAGCGTGCGCCCCCCGTTTCCGCCTCTTCCACCTCCACCGACATGGCTGGACTTAACCATTGTCTTGGCTTGTATGCGCGCTACTCCAACGATGTACATGTGGCACTCGAGCGGTTCAATCGAGGAAGACGCGACATCCAATGGGGTGTGAAGTCGGTGTATGCTATGGTGGAACTGTATCTAGATTTAGATAATGATGGCCTTCTCGATCATTCCTCCTCGTCCACGACCACCTCTTCGTCGTCATTGTTCCCCGCGCCTCGCTCCTCTTCGCCGTCAGCAGATGGTAAGGCAAGCACCGCGGTCACAGTCATAGGGTCCAATGGGGATGGCAAAGTGAAGGTCACCAATGTGGCAGGTGGAGGGGGCAAACGAATGAACGGCAGTAGTGGAGATAACAGTCCGACAGAGAGGGGGGATATGGCAATGGCAGGGCCGGCGCGGTCAGATGGCAGCGTGGAGAGCACACCCAGAGGGGCAGCGCAACCGCCTCCCGAAAACGATGCGGACGTCGGTCTCGACAACACGGTAACTGCGGCGGCGAACAACACAGAGGCCATCAGGATCTCTGAGCGACTGCTGGCAGAGATTCGACCCGCCGTAAGAGGAAACTCTGACGTCAGCAGCGGTGGGGCTGGGGGAGGTGGTGGGAGTGGGGGTGCCGACACCAGCCCCGCGCTGATGAATAGACATCTGGCAATGGAGTGCTACGTCAAAATGGCAAGCCGGCAAAGAGCGGACGTAGAAGCGGCACTGGCGAATCTACAGGAAGCTTCCGCCATGGTCGGACGAAGAGAAAACCGCGATCTTCACAGTGGACTACCAGGTCTAGGAGGGGCAGCAGCTGGAGGAGCAGGAGGGGGAGGAGGAGCAACGGCAGCCACCAGCTCCGTCTCCATCCTCCTGTGCACCGCAACAGGATTGATGTTGCTGAAACAAGTCCAGAAGGCACGGAATGTGTTGAAGCAGGTGCTGAAACTTCCGTATAACTTGGACGAGGGAGATGACTTTGAGAGAGCATGGCTGATGCTTGGAGATGTGTATTTGCAGAGCGGCAAGCTCGATCAAGCTCAAGAGCTATGTTGCCGGTGCCTCAAGTACAACAAGGCTTGTCCCAAGGGATGGGAGTCCGTAGGGTATATAATGGAGAGATCGCAGTCGTTCAAGGAGGCGGCCGAGCACTACGAACAAGCATGGCAGTTCTCTGGCGAAAAGCAACCGGCCATCGGATATAAACTCGCATTCAACTACCTCAAGTCGAAACGCTTTGTCGACGCAATCAATGTCTGCCACAAGGTAAAAAATAAATAAATAAATAAATTATTAATTAAGTAATAAATTAATAAATTAATAAATTAATAAATTAATAAAATAAAATAAAATAAAATCTGCTACAAAGTGGGTAAGGGGTGAGAGACGGTCAGGGATGGTCTGTGTTAACTCAACTGTCAATAACAGTCCGTCTGTCCCACAACTCCTTTGTCATTTGCAGTGTAACAGTGAGAAACAGTAACCAACTGACTATGGGCCACGCTCCACTAAAGAACATTCGACATGTACCTGGTCAGCTTCGGGACCAGATACATTCCGACTGATCAAAGATTCCCACGTATCGGGCCATTATCAGATCCAGATACGTTCAGAATGTTGCACAGTGAAACGGGGCCCTATTACTGCCCATTCCTAACTGTCACTATTGCTGACAGTTAACAGAGAGCTGCTGTTCCTAACTGTGACTGACTCTTCTTTTTTTTATTTTGACCGACTCTAAGCAGTTAGTTAACGAACTATGGGCCTCGCCACACCACTGTCAAAACGAAAAAAAGACTGAATGCATCTTCCCCAGAAAGTGGTAAGATGCATCCGCTGCTAGTCATAGTAAACGGACACATCTTGCCATGTTCTCCGTCTGGATGCACTCAATACCTTTTTGGTTTCGACAGTGCTGTGGCGAGGCCCTATTACTAACAGTTAACGGAGGACTGCCGTTACTAACTGTGACTGACTCTAACGGTCAATACCAGTCAGTGACTGACTCCTCTAACGGTCAATAACAGTCAGTGACTGACTCTAACGGTCAATAACAGTCAGT